GCTGCGCGGGCGGGGGCTGGCGGCGCCCGGCCAGTCTCCCCGCGCGCCCGCGGGTTTCCCGGGCTCCAGGAGCCCCCCTCATCCTCGTCACCTCGCGCTCAGCCGCAGAACTTACCATTGCCGCCGCTGTGCTCCTCGCCGACTCAAGACTGTAATGGTAAATTTTGGTAATTTGTAATTTTACCAGGACTGCAATGGTAAATTTGCTATGTAAAGTTTTAATGGAGATAAATCATTACACTTTCTTCTTTTTCTTTCATGTCCTTAAGTAACTGAAAGAAGTATCCTTGGTAGGAACAAAATAGTCTCTCTTCTAGCAGTCTTTTCTAGAATTTGTTAAGACCTGTCTTGGTACTGAGGCATGTCTGTCCTCTCTGGCCATTCTTGTGAGATTCTTGCCTTCAGAGGACTCTTGTGTGTCCCTTGATGGGACTGAAGTGTTAGATTGTCTCTTTTCCTGGTTTCAGAGGAACTTTGGTGAGAGGCATCTCATGGTGGGCAGATGAGAAATTTTAAGTACAAAGGACAGACTGAATTCAATACATGGGTCCTTACTGACTTACCTAAAAACAAGACATAAGCATTCAGGGACATTGGAGATGCAGAGATGTGCTTGCTCAGGGCTGATTGGTGTGACACAGAAGCCTGTGAAGACACAATATTTCTGGTGTGGCTCCTGAGGGCCAAGCAGGCTCATACAGTCATAGAATGGTTTGGGTTGGAAGGGACCTTTAAAGATCATCTACTCCAATTTCCCTGTTATGGGCAGAGACATCTTTCACTAGATAATGTTGCTCAAAGATCCATCCAACTTGATCTTGAAAACTTCCAATGACAGGGCATCCACAACTTCTCTGAGCAGCCTGTTCCAGCATCCCACCACCCTCAACATAAAAAAATTCTTCCTTATGTCCAATATAAATCTACCCTCTGTCAGTCTAAAAACAATGCCCCTTGTTCTGTCACTACAGACCTTGGTAAAAAGTCTCTCTATGTCTTTTTTATAAGCCCCCTTTATATATTGAAAGGCCACAACAAAGTCTCCTCAGAGCCTGGTCTTCGCCAGGCTGAGCAACCCGAACTTTTTAATTGCCAATTCTCTTTTAATTGTTTGTGCTAATATTTTATTGACTGCATTTGAGTGCCTTTAAAATGTTATTAAAAATTCAAGTGAAACAGGTTTGTGGCTGTAGTTTTGAAGTTCTTCCTTCAGAAATCTGTGACACCTTGAATTTTATCATGGCATGACTCATGGTGTAATGCCCAACACTTTTCAGTGTCCTATCCACAATAATGAAAGGTCTGACAGAATTTACTCCTATTTGTACAAGAGGGGTAATATATATGAGACTGTTAAGAGAATGAGGTACAAGATGTGTTCATTTAAGCAACATGGAGTTGGCATATACAAAATGGCACTACTTCCTGCCTCATCAAGCTCAATTTGCTGATTCCTTATAAAAGGACGGATAAGTATTCCTTCCTGTTAAAAGGTATGTTTAGTCTCCTTATTGGGTTTTGTTGGGGGTGGGGGTTAAGGAGTAAATTCATATGTTTGTGATCAGGAGAAGATTCCCCAGGTATCACTGCAGAGCACAAAAACCTCACAAGTTTGCGTCTACACCTTCCTAAAGTCTTGAAAAACTTCACAGCTCTGTACTTGGGTTTCTCTCCCTCTCTGGAGTCTACAGGGAAGCTTCTCATGCTCTCCACTCATTTGACAGGGTGCTGAAGAATATCCTTCAAATAGAAATGCTACAGCAGAGTACTGAAGGATGACAGGCAAATGTTTCAGTTTGTAGCATTGTGGCGCCAGTGCCTCCTTTTGAATAGGAACAATTCAAAGCACAGGGGTAGCCAGTTCAGGTGTCAGCCTGTACTAGAGCAGTGTAGGCTCCCCTGAAACTTATTCAATCAGATGCAGCTATAATCATATCTTTGGAGGATTTATCCATAACAAATTCTTCATTGAATCTGTCAGTGCAAATATCTTCCAGTGTTACTACCTAAAATGAAGCAAGTAATTCTTAACTCAAGCAATAACCAGCTGGAGTTGCAGGTGTCTAACATAGCTAAGTGTGTGCCAAGATCCTCCAGCTTGAAGCAGTCACACAATTTTTCCTCACCACAGATATTCCTGTGTTTGCAGGTATGAATGGGTCGGCCATTGAAAATTTCTCCTGTGTGATTTATAACATTTCCCTCATGAACTGCACTTGGCAGGCAGGTAGGGATGCTCCAGGAGATACCCAATATTTTCTCTACTGGCAGAACTCGAGGTAAGTAGGTCTGCTTGAGTCTAGCGAAGTCTGAATTCTCATTCAACGCATCGCACTGCCCACGTTTAACTAAAATACCTTGCTATATACAGAGATGATGATGCAATGGAATGTGAGCTTTACATTAAAGATGAAAATGGCAGAAACACAGGATGTAGATTCAAAAATGTGAGCATAGTGACTGAAAAATCTTACTTCCTTGTGAACGGGTCTAGCAAAGACTCCCTGATCCAGTTCTATGATGAGTACATTCAACTGTATCAATTTGGTAAGTATATAATTTCTTTCTGATTTATTTTTCATTATTGTGTGAGGGTAGTAAAGCATTTATCCCTGAAAAGGAGCCAAGTAGCCTATCTCACCTAGAGCTGAAAGTAAGAGACTGTGGCCTCTTCAAGAAAACCTATTCCTCAGGCAAAAGAGCAATGAGGGAAATTAAGCAAGAAAGTTCCACAGCTGCAGCCTGTCTCAGATTCTTTAGCAATCTACCTTTATTGGTTTTAGGTCTTTCTCCAGCAAGGTCCACAGGACTTAAGAGATTGCAGTTCCCCCTGCTGTCCTTTCAATGATGGCCAAAGACCTTTCAACAGAGGAGACTTTTCATAAGTTTATCTGAGTACTGATTTCTCCTTCTCATTGCAAGTGGGGATGGCATACACCAACACCATACACTTGACTAAAGAAATTAATATGCATAGAAAATGCCCCAGGTTTTCACATGCTCTTTCACATGTGGTGCTCTACTTAGAAGCATCCTGTGCAATTACTTTTACTGTGGCAAAGCCTTTTTGGCAAAATGCCACGGTTTTTGGTATTGCCTCCAGAAAATGGATAAACAAGGCTTCATTCTATAAGGAGAAGGAATTGAGCTGTGATATCACTTATGACAGATGAAACAAGACTGTTCTTTGACCAAACAGCTCATCACAGATAGGCCAGGCCTGTCTCTAAATATTGATGTAAAGTAGCTTAAAGTAAGGTTTCCTCTATCAGTCTTTTATCACCCTTTCTGTCATGAGTGGCTGTCTGTTGTTGTTACAATAATTAAGTCCTTGGCGATGATCAAAATATAAAGGTCCTCATATTTTTGCTCACGACTGTGAATTTAGGAGAGATACCTGAAGAAGTTGGCTAGATTCTTAAAACTGAAGTGTCATTTTTAAATTTGTATGGCTAATTTTTTAGAAGGGGGGGAATAAACTGCATAGTTCACAACACCAAGCAAGCAACACCTTCATGTTACAGCAGCACAGTGTGAGGAGGCTTGAAGAAAGGAACGACCTGTGGATTTCTTACATTAGGGTTACCATCAGCTTGTTCTTCTGTGGTAAAAAACATCCTTATAAAAAGAAGACAGGAGTCTACCTTATTCATCTAGAAAAGTAAATGGAGGGGGTTTGTATCTTTGTATGCTCCGAAGTCATGTTCCCTGGCTTAGTTCCTGTTTTTTCTGATCCTGGGGACAGGATTTAAAGAACTTTTGTCTTTCAATTATTTCTAACAGAGTTTCTAAGAAAAATAGATACAAATTAGTATTCTTTCTTCATAGATGTGTTACTTGCAATTGCATTCTCTTTTATCAAAGCAAAAAAGAGATCAAGTGATTTTAATTATTTGAATTCCTGGTTATATCATTTCAGAAAAGCTCATGCCTCCATCAAATATCACTGTTGACTGTGATGAAATTAAAAATGATTGCATAATTCAATGGCAACGACCCCAAATAAGTCATTCTAACAAAGACGGGTGTTTTAAATATGAAATCAACATAAAGTATAAGGTAAGAGGAATTTCTTCATCTACATTTAACATTAATACATATGTTTGCATTTATCAATACACATGGACAGAAAGAATATCAATCTCTCTTGTATGGTGTAGCCTTCCTCATACGTAGCACCATATTCCTTTGTGGGTGTGCCTTTCAAGCACCCTGTTATGCCATACTGCCCAATTTTTTTTTCTCTGTTCCGCTGGGTGAGATATTGTTGGTGATACACTGGTTGACTGTGACTGTGTGGGACTAAGAGGAGAAACACGGTTAATCAAGACTTGGACATAGGACAGCTTTGGCTGTGACAAAACTCAGAAAAGGTACTTCTTTCACTAAGACCTGTTGGAGCTGTCCTGGATTGGAGTCCTTCCAGTGGTGACTGCATCTCTGTGAAAGGGCAGAGCTCAGCTCTAAATACAGAACAGAGAAATGTGCATCCACTTAACATGAGTTGATGGAGGTGAATGAAATTTCTATATATATGAAATGTAAATAGTTTATCCAGGTATCATATATAAGCAACACACCTGTTGGCCCAAGAGTTGAAGCTGTATAATGTTAAATAAAAGGAAAATAAATGTGAGAGAAAGCAGAAAGGCAGTGTGAATAAGCACAGGTTACTGAGGGAATCATTTAAGCTACTGAAAGTCAAATTCAGGCCTTGGCTTTACAAGTCTTTTTGCAGCAATAGGGAAGGAGTTGCTCTGTGTTCCGCTGCAAGAGTAGATCTAAACTACTGTAACTGTGGCAGAATTGCGTCAAATGACCACAGGGTGGCAGATAGTGACTACAAAAGAAAAACCTGTCTGTACTACAACCAGATTTGGCCACTTAGTGGCTGATTGAAGCCAATCGGAACTTCTTAGTCTGGATCAGGCTTGCTATTTTATAGATGAGCTTTCTTGCAAGCCCAACTAACTGCTACAAAACTGCATTACTTCTCCAAATCCCTTGGCCATTGCAGCAAAGAAAGCTTACTGAAAACTTTGTGTGACGTTGGCATAAAAGGGCATTGCAGTAAAGCAATACATACTTCTTAAAGTCTTTTAATATGCCTAATATTCTGTTTATAAAGAATATTCAATTCACACATAGTCTGGATTGCCTAGCATTTTTTAAGTAATCATTAGCAGTTTTCATGTTACTAATTTTGTCAAAGTCCAGCAGTTACTGTATTGCAAAATTTATTGCTTTACCGCTACCAGGTGTCAACTTGTATTGTTTTACCAATACACTATGACCAACATATATGGTATTACAGTTAGCCTTTAAACTTTATTTTCACAATTGGAAATTACTTGAGAGCAAACAAAAAAAGGATAACACCATGAGTAACATAATTTCAATCACATTTTTTCATGTCTGACACCAATAAACTGAATTTGCTGAGAATCTTGGATTTTTCTTCAGTGATGTTTTAAGTTAAGGCCTTATAGATCAGGATATCTGGGAAACCTGAAGGCAAACCTTACCAGTGAAAGCTGACCCAAAAAGGCACCAAATACCTCAGCCTTTCCCATGCCCCTTGTCACTAGGTTCCTCCAACTCAGTGAGCAACAGGCCTGCATTCTCCTTAACCTCTTTTTTGCTGCCAGTGCAGTCATAAAAACCTTTCTTGTGCTCACCTCCCTCACTAGTCTCAACACCAGCTGAGCTTTGGCTTTCCTGACTCCTGACACACGTGCAGATGGTGTCTTTGTATTCTTCCCAAATACTTTCTTTTACCTTCTGCATCCTTCCTTTTTGTCTCTGAGTTCAGCCTCAAGCTTCATGTCCTGCCATGCTCACCTGGCACACTTACTCGACTTTCTGCACACTGGAATGGACCGTTCTTGTGCCCTGAGGAGGCTGTTCTTGTAGATCAACCAGCAACTTTGCCCTCCAGGGCAATTTCCCTTGAGTACCAAGGCCTGTGGCTGTGAGGCTTTCTCAAGCTGTCTGAAGAGGTCTCATCTGCTTCCTTTTCTTGACCAGGAGATCTGGAACAAACACCTACTACATTGTCACCTGTGTTGATCTGTCCTCTGATGCCCACTCACAAGCTCTCTTACTGGTTCATCATTTGTCCCAAGACAGAGCTCTGTGTATTCAAGGCACCTTTTTATGTAGAGCACAGGACCAGGTTAGCAAGCCTGTTTGCAAGGACACTCACCCCACTTGGTGAGATGCATCCCATGCCTGCTCAGTAGCCCTCGTTTCTCAGAAAGGTTCCCAAGGTTGTAGAAGCCAAAGCCCTGCCTGTGACACCAGCCACTCAGACAGATGTTGACCTGCTGGATGAGTTCAATTCTGCTCAAGCCTTTCCCTCTCACTGGAAGGACTGAGGAGACATCATCTGGGATTCCTGCCCTTCACCATCCCCCCAGTGTTCTGCAATCACCCTTCAAGTCATCCAGATTACCCCTGGCCTTATCATTGGTGCCGACACAGAAGAGCAGGAAGGGGTGATAGTTCAATGGCCAGACAAGTCTGGCAGTCCTTCTGCAGAATCCTGGATCCCGGCCCCTGGCAAGCAACAGACCTCCATCAGGTCAGGTCACTAGATTGGTGCCACCATCCCCTGCAGGAAGGAATCTCTTTTAACTATCATACACATTTTCTCCTTCATTTTTTTTCAAATGCAGTGCCCTTTAATATATCTCTTCTTCCAAATTTTGCAAAAGACCAGCTGTCCTTCTGGAATTCCAATTTCTGAAGTCTTCCATGACCTCACTGTTTTCATTTCTCATGTATAAACACAAAAAAAGGGAGACTGTATTGTTGCACTTTCTTCTAGATTGATCCCTGTGCTTAAGCTAGCTCGTTTGCAGATTCTAGAAGCTGTCCCGTATAGCAGCGTGCCTTGCAAACTCATGTTCAGGTGCCACATGAGCATGCATGCAGTTATTTGACAAAAGAAGTTTGGATTAATTTCATTTTGTTTTAAAATGGAGTAATACAGAATGCAAAATAAATAAAAAATACATAACTCTGGCAGGCTAACAAAGATAATACAGTCTGCAGTCATCAGTTGTATGTGGTCACTACATTACGTGGTAGTCATTGTGGCTATTTGGAAGAGATGAGTGAATTTTTTTCTAGCTATCAAAAATGTAGTTGGAGGGCAGCCTAAAGTATCTGTGAATTCATGTCAGTCCTGAATATTTTCATCTGAGGGAAAAGGAAACAATATTTATATAACATTTGCAATTAAATATAGTGACATTTATTGGAAAATATAAACACTAGGTGTAAACTAAAAAGTTTATTTCACAGATTTTTATCTTTTTTTTTTTTTCCTGGTGTGTGTAAGAACGAAGTTACAGCTTTCATTCAGGTCTGGTTTGCTTGTGTTTGAGTTTAATCACCAATCTGAAATAAAATTTATTTCTCAACTCTGGTGGTAAGGAAAACAAATAATTTTCCACGGAAGAATTAGTTACTATATAAAGTTGGCATTGTAGATGAATTATATATTAGATACTAAATGTTAAATAAATTACCAGTTCTTCTGAAAAACTGTCAAGCAGATAAGAAAGAGTAATGCAGAAAAAGGGGACAGTAGATAAAAATTACTTATTATCTAAACACAAACCAAGCAATCATTAAAATAAAGGGTTTTTTTTTCTCAATTTACAGGACAAAGCTGAGGGAAAACCCAATTATATTTCTATACAAGTAAGTCTGTTTGTTCTATTAATTATCAATACATGTTAGTTCCGTAGTCATTTGTGAAAAGTGAATAGCATGCAAATGCCTTTAAATCAGTATGTGTCCAATTTCCTATGCTTTATGGGATCCTTATTTATAAATTCCATGAATGTGTCAAAGTGCTAAATCATCATGACATGTCATTTATTATACTTTCAAGGGCAGAACTTTATTACTATTCTGTAAGTTTTTTGAAAAACCTTGCATTTTACATTATATTTTCCACTCTCCCCCTCAAATATTTGGATCAGAATTTGAAGTTACACATCAGTGACAGCAGAGAAAAGAGACACAGAGAAAACACCTCTTAGGAATTTAATTTTGTTTATGGAAAACAAAGACCACAAAAGTCCTTTGGGGTCCTTTGGGATCCTTTTGGATGGAGGCTGTCCTTCAGGTATGCTGTACTTCCTTCTAATCAGTGCAGCTTGCACATTCCACCTCTATCCTGAAAGTATCCAAGAGCAAGCACATTTCAGTAAATTGTAGTGACACTAGGTATTGCAGTTTTCTACTCATTTTACAGATTAGGCTGGAAAGTTATGCTTTTCCTGGAAAGTCGTAATGCAAAGACTGAGGAAGGTGAGGTGCATGCAGAGAGTTTATTCCTCAAATCACTCAATTCTAGCAGTATTGAAATGAGACAATTCAAGATATTTTTCTGCCTCCGTCAATGTGCCAAGGGAAATTATCAATATATCAGACTATATTGTAAGAAATTACAGGATATAGTTTAAAAGACGAAAAGCTTCTAAACATAAAAATTTTACTGAGTGACAGGTTATTTTTTAAAGGAGATACACAGATTCGCACATATTATATACATAATAAATATGCATATGTTTATTTTTTGCTTTGTAACACCAGTCTACTTTAACAAGCAATTATCTCCTAGCCTTGTAAAAGTTTCACTGGTAAGTGGCGCTTGCATATTATGAACACCTAGACAAGAAACAAAGAAAAACAATTCAATTTTGTTTTGTTTTTAGGAATGGGCAAATAGTCACACATTTCAAAGATCCAATACAAGAAAGAAGTACCTCCTGAAAATGAGAACAGCTGGCAGTGCCTGCTTCGTGAGCCCAGCCTGGGGGGAGTGGAGTGCACCTGTAGAGTTTGGTAACAACAAATATCTATGCCTTGGGCAACTCTGCTCCCAGTGACGCCCTGTCTACCTCACACATCTACAGGCACACAGCGCATCTCTTAACACTCTGACATTGGAAATAAACATAAAAAGTTACACATTTGCAGCTGAAATGCTTACCTGCTTACTGCAGGGGATGGACAAACAGGCTCAATGTTAATCCCTCCCAGCAGACGTTACTGCTAAGGTGCTAAATTAAAGAGTTGATTTTTATTCCAAGACAAACCTTTCAGACTGACATTCACCCGTTGGTCACCAGAGTAAATGTTTGACCCAGCTGTGCATCTATTCCTTTTTATTAAAAATAACACTTTATGACTGTTTCAGGAAATGAAGAAATTATTTCTTCTTCAGTATGGATTTTACTTGTGGTAGCAGCTGCAACACTCTTAGTGGCAATTGTCACAATTTTGTTCTGCAAAAGGTAAACTTAATTTATGAATTTCTTTTATTTTGTGTGGGTGTGTGAAATATCTGCAGTTCTTAAGCAAATAAGGTAGAGGTGTCTCTGTAGTAGAGATAAAACTTTTTCACTCACACTGTAGTAGAAATTAGTCCATATGAATGATCCTGAGGCAGGTACTCTAATGGTGATGCCCAGTGTCCCTCCCTGGCTGATCCACATAACTTTTTCCAGGGCCTCTTCTGTTAACGTGGCGAGGAGAGCAATTATATGCAATTACTCCTATTAACAGTACAGCTGCTCTGAATATTTGCAATGTAGACTGTCTATGCAATAGGGTTTCTGATTTCTTGAACTGCTGAATTTATTGCAGACACACAGGTTGGTTGTACTTACCAGTAAAGATTTTACAACGTTCACTAGAATTGTCCTAGCAAACTGAATATATCTGAAAGCACATAAGCTAAGCAGCTTGCTTCTTGAAATAAACTATGGAAATGAAACAGAAAGAAAAAGGATGTTCTGCCATATCACACACTTTGTATAGAAATATACAGTAATTTAGAGAAGATAGAATAATAGAATCATGGAACGGTTTAGGTTGAAAAAAACCTTTAAGATCATCAAGTCCAATCATTAACCTAACACAATCAAGTCCACCACTAAACCATGTCCCTAAGCACCACATCTACCCATCTTTTAAATACCTCCAGGGATGGGGACTCAACCACTTCCCTGGGCAGCCTGTTCCAGTGTCTGACTACCCTTTCAGTGAAGAAGTTTTTCCTAATATCCAACCTAAACCTCCCCTGGTGCAGTTTGAGGCCGTTTCCTCTTGTCCTATCGCTTGTTATTAGGGAGAAGAGACCAACCCCCACCTCGCTACAATCTCCTTTCAGGTAGTTATAGAGAGCAATAGGGTCTCCCCTCAGCCTCCTCTTCTCCAGACTAAACAACCCCAGCTCCCTCAGCCGCTCCTTGTAAGACTTGTGCTCTAGACCCTTCACCAACTTTGTTGCCCTCCTCTGGACACGCTCCAGCACCTCGATGTCCTTCCTGCAGTGAGGAGAAGATACGGTTCTTCCAACTTGTTAAACTTTTTACATCCACTTTTCACTGGTTATAGTGACTTAAAGAGCACAACAATTTGGAGTTGCTTTTCCTTTTAAAGAAGAACACAACTACTAGTGAATTTTTAACCAAAAAAGAAATTATTACCATCCAAATTCTTAGTGTTTTCCTAATACGTGTTCATTCTGTGCTGAGATGATGTACATTTTTCATTTCTCTTCCATCCTGGAAGAGGAAGATAAGAGCTGGTTCAAGGGTGCAATGGTTTTGACAGTTACTTAATTTTTCTTTTCCATTCCATTTCTTTTGATCTCCAGGACTGGCTGTTGGAAAGCAGCATTTCCACAAATCCCAGAGCCAAAAAATGCATTTCAGGGACTGCATGATACAAATCCAGAGGTATGTGTTCTTTCGATGTTATATTAAATGTGTGAAATACATATGAGACTCCACTGCAGGTATTTATTAAATTATAAGGAACTTAACATAGAGAATAACTCTTCTCTTTGCCATATTTTGAGGAATTTCAAGAGAAAATCAGCGGGCAAGTTTGTTAAGGGAAGTCAAACGCAGTGCTCTTTCAGAACTAGGGGGTTTCTCCTGTTCAAGTCTCACAGGTACAAGGACTGATACTCCCATTGGTAGGTCCAGACAGCAGCAAGGAATGTGTGTTTTCCCAACACGAGGCACACACATGTATAAATACACATACACAGAAGACACAAATGCAGCCAGCCACAACGACCAGCACAGATGCCATTGCTGGCACCACGTCAACACCAGCAGCAGTCCCATAAATAGGGTCACAGACATCCCAGTCCTCCTGCTCCTCTCCAACTGAGCAGGGCTGAAGTTTGCCAGTGAGACGTGCATGCACCCTCACTCTCTTCATTCACAACCATAAATTCACAAGTTCCTCACATCTGATCTCTGTGTCCGGACCCTGGGTCCCCCCACCAGGTCACCAGCTCTCACCTTTGATCTCTCCAGGTACAGGTCTCTCCTACTCACCCACTAGTCCAGCTTCAATGAAGTTCACTAGCAAGTTAGACACACAGGACAGAAAGCAAGGTGACACAGAAAACAGTTCAAAATAGGATTTTGTAAGGTAACAGGATAAACTGCGGTGGTCATACACAGCGTTTGACCAGACCAGCATACTGGCCAGCAGCTCACATGCGCCCTTTTCTTGTCCAGCAGTTTATCATGTTATGTCCATTAATTTCTCATGGTCTGTTCAATTAGCTAAACTTCAGGCCAATGTGTACTCATCTACTTTGACACCTTAGCAAAGTTAATCCTTTTGTATTAATTTGTTTGACATGATTTGTGGTAATCCATGTGGTGCATTGGAGAAAAGCACATGTTGTCCCTGTCCACTTCCAGGGCAGTCAAAAATCAGGTGTCAGCATTACAAACTTGCTGAAATTTCACTGTTATGTTCAGCTAAGGAAAGTTTGTCAGCTAAGAAAAAAAGAAGTGAAATATGCAACAAAAGCTGAAATACTCTCAGAATTGTGCATAAGTAAGTAGAGGCTAACCTAACCTTATGCATAAAACTAATGGAAGTTTTTATTTTCCTTTCAGCTGATGAAGAGCAAAATTCAGTCAAAAACATCTGAAAAGGAAGAGATAATATTAGTTGCTGACATAGTGCAATAACCAAAAAAAAACTGAGGAATTTGAAAGTGCATTTCTTAGCTCAAGCAACTGTATATTCCTGTGGAAAGTCTGGAATAATATATAGGCTTTCTTCACTTTCTTCCTTTTCTTGACAAAAACGTAGTGCAGCCAAGAGAGAATGATACCTCACGTAATTTTTTAAAATGCCATTGTATTTGCTTTTAATTTTGGCTAACTTTAACTGTTTGGGTAACTTGTCCTTATTGGATATGTTCCATTTTGTGAATATGATTGAAGTATTTCAGTGAAGAACTTTTAGTTACATTCTAATTTGTTCAAGGAAAAATAATGGGTTTGTCTCATATTAAAAAGAATATGAATTTATTGACAATGAATAAAAATTAAAAAGAAAAATTCTCGTGCCTGAATGCCATTGTTCTACTATCAAGAATGGGCCTATTCATATTTGAAGTTTCCTCAGATCTCTTAAAGTACACGTGGGCAACCAGAAAATTGAGAATATGATTGAAAACAGGCTGACACATTGAGTGGTGGCCTGTAATCAACAGGAATCTCAAAGGACAGGCATATGTCTAAACCCCTAACTAATCCTAGAGCTTAGGTGTGTTATTTGCAAGTTAAGAGATCAGCCACTATTAACTTGATATCAGCCCAGAATTTACTTCTGTAGGTATCTAACCCTTTATGTTCTTACTGCTCACTTAACTTTTTACTACTTTCATTCCTCTTTAACTTCTTACTATTTTAAAATATTGAGTGCGTGACTCAGTTAATCTCTGTGTCCTTTTGTTCAGAGGCCTTTACTGCTGAGCTGGACAGTAATTTTTCAGAGCCATAGGGTTAGGACAAGGTATTGGGAAAACAGCCCAGGCTGTTGTTGAATGCAGTGAGTGGTTATGAGCAGCACTCCTCATGGTTCGATGCTGAGACTCATAGTGTTTAGTACTAACAGTAACTTGGACAATGGGCTGAAATGTGGCCTTAGCAAGACTGCAGATGACAGCAAACTGAGGATGCTGCCTGATATACTGGAGGGCCTGCCTGCTATTCAGAGGGCTCTTCACAGGCTGAAGAAACGGGTTGATAAGAACCTCCTGAAGCAAATGCAAAGCCAAATACCTGGGAAAAACTAACTGCATGTATCCTCAAGAATGACTGACTGTGGGGTCTGCAGAAAAGGCTCTGAGGTCCCAGTGGGCAACAAGCTGAACACAAATCAGAAGTGCTTCCTTATGGTAATGAAAATTATCCACATAGTAGGCTATACGAGGAGGAGTGGACCAGGCAGTGATTATTCCCTCTACTCAGCACTCCTGAGTCTCCATGTGCAGTTTCATGTCCGGATTTCAGCCTCCTAGTACAAGAAAGACATTGACAAAATGGGTTAGTTCAGCAGCGGGGCACCAAGATGATTATGGTGGTCTGAAGGACCTGGGATTTTTCAGCCTGGAGAATAGAAGCTAAGGGGATCTACCGCTGTCTTCCGCTGCATGTAATGAAGACAGAACAGACTTGTCTGTGAGTTGCGCAGTGTGAGGATGAGAGGGAACAGTCACAAGTTGCAGGAAGAGGTCCAGTTTGATATAAGGAAAAAGAATGATTTACAGGTGAGAGTGGTTGGATGGTCTCTGGAACAGATGTCCAGAGAGGCTGCGAAATCTCCATCTTTGGATATATTCAAAACAGAACTGGACAAGCAACTGGATCTGACACTGAAGTTGGCTCTGCTTTAAGTGGGAGGTTGGACTCAATGACCTTCAGAGGTACATGCCAACCTAAATATTTCTCTAAGTATTTCTCTAAATGGCTCTTATCAAAGCTGGTCAGTCTTTCTAAGTCCCTGTTGTGAAACAGTGGTACCCATTTGTACACTTAAAGCAACTGGGAGAGCTGGAGTCGTACTATGTACCGGTACAGCTGCTTAGAGAACTACTGCATAACACATGCCTCCTCCACTTGGGAACAGGGCTTGACTCAGAAAGGTCTGGTTTCTTTTCAGTGCTGAGCTGGCAGTTTGAGCCAGCACTTCTTTTTCATTTCCTGATGCATTCTCCACCTAATATACAGCCTTAGGGTTAGGGCTTGGGGAAGCATAGGAAAGCTGCATCCCCAAAGGAGTACTAGTCTTTTCAGTCAGAAAGCATCATAAATTGTGACTCTTATTCAAAGGAGAAAGCACCAAGGTACAGTAGCAAAAACAGGGTGCTTAGGTCTTCTTATTGTGGAGGAATGTAACCCATTTTGATAATATGCTCATTTTATATAGATGTAGGAACATAGTTCTCACCTTCTGATCCAACAATACTGCAGACCAAGGAATTTGAGAATTATGCAGATCCTTATCAGCAAGGAAAGGGACTAGTCTGGTGAGAACTTTTGTCCTTTTTAGGGTTTGGACATTTCCAATAGCATTCACAGTTCCCAGTATGAGGTGAGATACAGCTGGAGAAAGCAGCCTGAGGAGGCCTAGATTCTTCTGACCACTGGAGGATTCTCAGACTTATGAAGAAGTATCATATCCTCACAAGACAACAACTACATGTATTCCTTGGAAAGTGCTATACCTAATACTGAGACTTTGAGACAAGCACAGACTTACATTTCTGTTTGAAAAAGATCAGACTCATGTGCACAGCATAATGGTTCATCTTGGAGGATAAGTACATTAGGTTTGGACCAACTGTTTTTTCCTCTTTCATTTTCTATGGGAATTGTATACCCAACCTCTGTTCTTACAGGTTCACTCCTGGTAAACATATAAGCTCCATCAAAGGTTTTCAGAAAAATATTTCTAATTCCTTTGTTGGTCGCAGGTGTCTGACATGGCCTTACCTTGCCATAAATTCATTTGTATGGATGGAGCACTTTTGAAAGGGCTAGAAACAGCCTTTTCAGGTAAGTGATAAACATAAGGGAACTATTTCTGAAGAGATGTGAATAGGGATATCTTCTGGGATATTGTTCTTGATGTAGGCTCTGTTAGGCCATTTTCCCAGAAGGCTGGGAGACCTAAGGTTTACTTTGCTATATTTCAAATTTGAAATTATGTTCTGCAGGAGAGGCCCTCCTTTAGTGTTGCTGGGTAGAATACTGTAAAAGCGCTATTGCCTGTTTTCTCTGCTTAGAGCAGTAGTATCTAAATGTGACAGGCTTGAGAGGTTTCGTCGCTAAATGTTGGATTTAGCTGACCATTGCAGCCAATCTCTCGAAGGAAGCCTTAGAAAACTGTTATCATTTCAGCCCTTAATGTTCTCCTCTCTTTCTGATAACGCTGGGCCACGTTTCTGCTAACACTTTTATTAATTTACAAGTAGCTATTCTTTCCAATGTTAGATTGTTGGGTTTCTTTACACTCTTGCTTTGCTGGATCCCTACACTGAACTGCTCACGCGATTTATCAGCATAAGTGATTTCAGAAGGGATTCTGTCCTGCTGGTTGTGTCTTCCCTGTTCCAGAGGACAAGTGGAGTTCTCTCATGCTCAGACGATGCAGCCTCCCAAGTCAAGCATTTTTAGACCAGACAGAAAAATCTTTGGAAATTTATCATATAGCAACAGCAATATACAGGGGCATGAAGGCTGTACCGCATCAGGGTAAAATGTCCAGCCAGCCAATCCATCACATCAGCATGTTAGGATTTTTCTTCATCATGTGTGAAAATTTACATTTTTGTACATTGGACATGAAATTGGCATTTCATCTGCCAATTTATCATTCAGTCACTCACTATTATCAGGTTATTGAACTTCCTCACAGTCATCTTTGGTTTCTATTATCTCAAACTACTTGTAACTATTTATCCATGTGAGGATCCTCTTCTTATCTCAGAGCAGTTCAGACTTTTCTCCTGGTTTAACGATGTGATGTTGATTTTTTTCCCTAAACCCTTTGACTGGCATTCCTCTTGAAGAAAAGTCCTAGCATGACAGCATCCTTGAGGGCATCTGTAGTACCAAATACTCACTGATACTTTCGGATGTCACCTTACCTCCTTTAACAAATCTTTTAATTTACCTTAATCATCTATTTGCTCAATGGTTTCTGACAAGATTCCTTTTTTGGGAAATTATTTATTATTAGATTTCTTTTATTCCTTTTACAGGTTGTTCCATAAAAAAATGTTTTTGGCCTGACTTATTGTGTTCTTGTATTTACCCTGTCAGAATTCATATGCTTTCCTGTTTTCCTTCTGTGGTGAGGGCTCCAACTTTTTGACAAATGCATTCTTATTTTGTACAGCCTCCCTTACCCTTTTACTTTGCTATGCCAGGATCAAGGAGATTTTTCTTTTTAAAGAGGCAAAAAAACCTACTATTTGATCTATTTGTATTATGAATGGGACCCAAAGAATACATTTCAATGTTTGATTTAACTGTGTGGGAAGATACCAGACTGGGCATAGCCATGTCCTTATCATGTACTGCCATAGTGGCTTCACATGTGAAGGCTTTGTAGAAGCAAAGAATGTTAGGTAACATTTCTACAGAATTACAGTATTACCAGTACTGGGCAAAAACCTAATTTCCCTTACATCCTTTACATCCCTTACAAAGTGCAGCAACAGGCAGACAATGTAAGCCCTTGTAAATCCTTGTAAGAGCTAAGTAATCAGTAGAGACCATGACATCAGCACAGAAGACAAGAGGCAAATACTCTCATTTCCCTGGGGTGTCTCTTGATACCCTTGACAGAGATCAGGAGCACAGCAACAAACTCTATTTTACTGGTATAATTAGATTTCTGGGCTCCTTTCTTTGGGAAAGAAGCATATTCCAGCAAGGAAGTCAGAATTTGAGCAAGTAATAGCAGAGCACAAACAAAACTTCCATCTTCTGTTAAAGTCTAATTCCATACAAGGCTCAGCCTTGATCTGGAGTTATACCAAAGGAGTCTTCTCATCCACCTCCCTAGTTTGGATGGTTGATTGGTGAACCACCTACTTGTGCCTACCTGAGGATGCAATGCTGGAAGCTCACTAGGACTCCTAAGGTGATCCTTAAGACTCAAAGAGAAAATG